AGCGCAGCAGCGCGAGCCTGAGTTTTTTTTCTCTTTCTCTCGTAAATTTTGCTTGTCTCTCCTGTATTTCCATTCTTGTTATTTTATTAATGTTCCGCATATTTGTCTTTAGTCTGTATATTTTGTAGCGTTTTTTAGCATATTTTGTTATATAGCTGTTCTTTCCATCGCACGTATCAGTTTCCTCCTTGGTTATTTTTGTTAACTCCTGCCTTTGCCCTTCTTTGAATTAAATGCTAGTTCGTTTTGCATAAAATCTCCGTGTCTGCTTATGAGTGCGTCGATCAGGCTCATTCATCACCACACGTGCGACCCCGCACGGGTCGACCGACCTGCAAATAAATTTGAAATGTGCCACTTCGAGGCCTTTTAGGCCTTTCAGCGCTTGCGACTGTGTGTGACGCAGTCGGGTCTCAGCGTAGTCGCTAGAACACCCAGTAGCGCGATCGACCGGGGCCTGAACAAGCAGTCGTACCAGGATCATGTTCAGCTACTGCGCCAGAAAATGGAAAGTAGACGGCGCATGTTTGAGACCTGGGATGCAAGGCACGAACAGGGCAAAGAGCCCGTAGGTGCCAAACCGCTGAGAGCCGGCCAAAATAGCAGTACTGATGAGGCGAACATCGTGTTCACGAGTGAATCTAATACCCCTGTCACACGGCCACCACCAAACTTCGTTGAACACCGTCAACGTAAATCTCTCCTGGGTGGTTCGACGGAGGAGTTGTGGCAGTGTCACACGGCAATGAAAAGGTTGTAACAGTTGGCGCGAGGGGGCTCAGCTGGCGCCATTTGATTTTCGGAAAAGTATTCTAATTTCATCTCTATTAATTTTTGTGAATCCTCGTTATGGGGTTTTTACAAAAAAACACTATTAAGGAGGTAAAAGGCTAACAAACCATAAAAATATTTTTAAATAAAAACGAATTTGCTAATTGTAGCGATGCTGCCAGTGACGCTGGCCACATTGTGCTTTAAGGTGTTTTGTTGCCTGTGTTCATGCCCGTGTGCGAAAGTTCTTGTGCTTCCTTGCCTCGTGAGTGCACATTTTGTGTTCTTCAGCCATGAGTGACACAGCGATGACCACAACCACACGCATGGACGAAATATTTTTCAATGGCGCCGGCCGGCCCGACTCGCGAGGCACCACGTGCGAGGCACGGAGTGTAGAGCATCGGTGTTGAGAGTAAGTGAACTCTGGCTGGCGTAAATATATGTAAACAAACACGCGTTGTGAATAAGTAGTACAACGAAAGAACATTTAAGATTGCCAAAATGTATTATTCTTTCACTGCGGCCACTTAGTGCTCGAAAATTTTCTCTGACCTCTAGACTGCTGGGGACGAGAGTACCTCGTTTCGCTGCGAAGGGAGATCGTTGAACGTCCTTTGCGAAACGCTCCGTTTACCTTCGTTTGCGTAAGGGTGGCCGTATGACACGGACCGCATCTTCGTTGTCGTAAGGACGAGGGAGTTAAACGGTCTTCGCGGGTGCCCGTGTGACAGGGGTATAAGGAGTTAGCTGCTGAAAGTCCCTTTGTGGCTACAAAGGCCACTGAAGGCCGCAGTGATGGTGACGAGGCGCCGTGCCTGGAGAGTCTTGTTAATACAGAAATGCCATCTGTAATGGACTTGGCACAGCCACCCTGTATATGCGTCGCCATGGCAGCTAACTGTGAAGTTCGCAGTACCTCCGATCCGGCAGGCGAGGATCCCTGTACAGACAGCGGGACAGAGTCGTGTGCTGACGCACACTGCGAGCTGGGCAATGTTGGGGCAAGTAGTTCTCCCAGGTGCGAGCGGCGCAGCCCTGAGGAAGACACTTGCATTGTTCAGCCGTCAGTCAAGTTTCCCGCAAGTCAGAGTGTCTACAAGTTAGCAGAAAATCCCGACTGTAGAGACTTTACAGCCGATGAGACAGGCGAGACAAGTTCTGCTCTGCAAATGTTGCAAGCGGACTTCTCGAAAGTGAGCTCTGGGCAACGTGCAAAAAGAAAAAGACTCCGCACAAGCAGAAGGAAAACGAAGGCTGCAAAGCAACCTGGAAAATCGCGAATTGCCAAACGGCAATCAACGCTTGAGGCTTGATGGTTTTGTATGGAAGATGACTTGATTTTGATTTCCTTTTGTCCGCTCAGAAGTTCCTTTATTTAAGCATTTTCCGAGCCAGAATTCAGCTCAACGTCACGGCATACCAGCAATAACAAAAAAGTAACAAGCGAATTGCCGCAACAGTTAAAACTGATGACACCTACGTTACACACGCGTTCTAATATTTGAGTGAGAACAAGCACAAGAGAAAAGTACTGAAGGTGGAACCGGCAATACAACAGCATCGTAACAACAGTGACAATTCTGTAAACTGACCCGCAGGATGAACAAAACAGTCGTGAACCGCACCGCCATCACAGAGCCGGTTCCACGCCCCAGAGAACGACTGTCATTCCATGGCTTTTGTAGCTCGAAGTGTTGCCCGCCAAACGCCCAGACTTCGTCGCTCAGTATGTCGCAGTGGCCAAAATTGGTGGCAAAACAATTTAATTTCCAGTTTTACCGTCAAGCTGGCTTTCCCGGAACGGTCACGAAGTTGGAGCTGCGTAATCGCCTTTAAAATGCACAATGTGACGTATACCTGCCACTGGTAAACTTCCCTGCGCACGTGAACTACCAGCACCGACGCGCTTGTGGTTTACTGAGCAGCATGCCTACTTTGTCTTCGAAGAGTGCAGTGCTGTGGCAACCAGAGGCCAGATGAGTGGAGGAGCAGTGGTGCACAAGGGACCTGGAAGGCAAGTCATGGAGTGCCAAAATCAAAGCTTGTGCAGCAGTCGCAGAACGAGGAGCACTCCAGCGTTGGGAACAGTGAAGCAGCAGGTGAGCACCACAGATCATGCAACACTTGCTTCCATCGAGTGTATCACGCAAAATGCACTGCCAGCACGACTCGTGGACACAGGTTAGAGCCATTGTCTGTCCCAGCTAAATGGCACCCTCCTTGTCTTAGAAGAGTGCAGTGCTGTGGCAACCAGAGGTCAGATGGGTGGAGCAGTGGTGGTGCGCAAGGAGCCTGGAAAGCAAGTCATGGAGTGCCAAAGCTCGAGCAGCAGTGCAGAACGAGGAGCACTCCAGCGTTGGCAACAGTGAAGCAGCTCGTGAGCACAAGTCTGACAACACTTGCTTCCATTGAGTGGATCACGCAAACTGCACTGCCAGCGTGACTCGTGAACAGAGGTCAGGGCCGATGTCTCTCCCAGCTTAATGGCGTCCTCCTTGTCTTGGAAGAGTGCAGTGCTGTGGCAACCAGAGGCCAGATGGGTGGAGCAGCAGCGGTGCGCAAGGGGCTTGGAAAGCAAGTCATGGAGTGCCAAAGCTCGAGCAGCAGTGCAGCACGAGGAGCACTCCAGCGTTGGCAACAGTGAAGCAGCTGGTGAGCACGACAAGTCTGACAACACTTGCTTCCATCGAGTGGATCACACGAAAGGCACTGTCAGCACGACTCGTGGACACCGTTGAAAGCCGATGTCTCCTCCATCTTAATGACGTCCTCGTTGTCTTGAAAGAGTGCAGGGCTGTGGCAACCAGAGGCCAGATGGGTGGAGCAGCTGGTGGTGCGCAAGGAGCCTGGAAAGCAAGTCATGGAGTGCCAAAGCTCGAGCAGCAGTGCAGAACGAGGAGCACTCCAGCGTTGGCAACAGTGAAGCAGCTCGTGAGCACAAGTCTGACAACACTTGCTTCCATTGAGTGGATCACGCAAACTGCACTGCCAGCGTGACTCGTGAACAGAGGTCAGGGCCGATGTCTCTCCCAGCTTAATGGCGTCCTCCTTGTCTTGGAAGAGTGCAGTGCTGTGGCAACCAGAGGCCAGATGGGTGGAGCAGCAGCGGTGCGCAAGGGGCTTGGAAAGCAAGTCATGGAGTGCCAAAGCTCGAGCAGCAGTGCAGCACGAGGAGCACTCCAGCGTTGGCAACAGTGAAGCAGCTGGTGAGCACGACAAGTCTGACAACACTTGCTTCCATCGAGTGGATCACACGAAAGGCACTGTCAGCACGACTCGTGGACACCGTTGAAAGCCGATGTCTCCTCCATCTTAATGACGTCCTCGTTGTCTTGAAAGAGTGCAGGGCTGTGGCAACCAAAGGCCAGATGGGTGGAGCAGCGGTGGTGCGCAAGGAGCCTGGAAGGCAAGTCACGGAGTGCCAAAAGCAAACCTTGACCAGCAGTCGCAGCTCGAGGAGCATTCCAGCGTTCGGAACAGTGAAGCAGCATGTGGGCACCACAGGTCCGGCAACACTTGATTCCATTGAGTGGATCACGCAAAAGACACTGCTAGCACGACTCGTGGACACAGGTCAGTATGGGCAGTACCAGCGCATGAACTCACGGGACGAAGAGAAGAGACACAAACAAGCGCTGACTCTCAACTGAAGAATTTATTGAAATATACAAGTTACCTGAACACATAAGATAAAAACACACAGAACATGCGCAGAGGGCCAGCGAAGGATCGTGTTGACGTCATTAACAATTTTGCGCTATGGGTAACTGCGCAGGTGCGGCATATTCCATTCAAACAAACATGCTACTGAACAATATTTTTTCTCTTCCATGCAGATATTGATGTCTGATTGACACAGGACTCCCCTTCTTTTTTTATAGAGAAGGCTTCCACTAGTTTTCTTGTGATCTGATCGCTATGTTTGAAGAGCACTATCGTTTCATTGAACAAGGGCCTGCATCCACACGTGTGGCAGAGCTCCACACCCATCATCCACACCCATCAGAGCCGATGCCTCTCCCAGCCTAATGGCGTCATTCTTGCGCCAGGATTTGAGAAAGGTGCATGCAGTAGCGAATCACAGAACGCCTAGAAAAAATCTAGGAAAGGGATTTTGTTGCTACATTCTTAGCTTTGTTCATAATTCTTAAGAAGTTCTTCTCAGCCTTTTTGTTAAATCGAGCATTGCAGTAGCACAAAATAGTGAATATTCACAGGATACTTACGTAACGGTGACGTCACAACCGTATTAAGCAAATGTACTTTGTCTTCTGGAGCTGGAGAAAGGAAGAAGAAAAAAAAATGCAGATCTCAGACTGGCTGGCTACAGGCGATGAACTGAAGAAATGGGCACGTCGTGTTCGTGGAGCTTGTAAAATGACACTTTGAATTTCTGTGTTTGGCTCGATTATTTTTAATTAGTCATTTTGTCTTTCAAATAATCCAGTACATACTTTACGACTTAAAATAGACCATCTGACTTAAAGTTATTGTATGAGCCTTCATTTGCGCCAGCAATGTGCCATTTCTTAAAAAAAAAAGAATGATGACAAATTAGAAGCCGCTCAAAAAGCATGATAAAAAGAAAATCATATCTTGATGATAAATTGATAACTGTCACTGAGGAGAGACTTAATAGTGGTTGGCATAGCAGCCGATATTCCCCAACATAGTTACCTAACAGGTGCCAGAGTGGTGATCATAACTAAAAAGTTAGTTCAATAAAGAGTATCGTTTTTAGCAGTCTGACTGCCTCTTTCTTTGCCGTCATAAGCTTGTGAAAACAGCTAGCGGTTGCGATGACATCCCATCGGAGTAGTTGGACATTCCGTGCTAGGTTTCGGTTGTCCTATTCGGAGTTTTTTTGGGTATTTGCTCAAAACAAGAGAGGTGGTTATGGCTTGTTCTTCATCGTAAAAGCTTGATATACAGTGCCATTTCGCTTGTTTCGCTCGCTCTCCCAGTGTTACGCTTTCATATCGCTGCTCTGTTTTTGTAATGATTGACTCAAGATGAGGCAAGTGATAAATATATGAACATTTGAAGTTCCGTGCAGTGGTGTACAAATGATACATGAATTTGGCTGGAATACACACCCATCTTCGCGAGTTCTTCGTCTATTTCTTGAACTTCGTATATGCGGTGTAGAACGTGAGCCTGTGACGAGCGCTCACTTCGAGGTACGGGCTTTATTCTGAGCTTATGGTTGATTATTCCTTCCTTTTATAAAAAGAAATCAAAGAAGAGTATGACACGACTCCGCTCCGATAAGCTAGAATCGGATACATTCATGTACCATAGAGCATGCTAAAAATGTTGCAATACAGGCATCAAGTGCTTAACGACAAAACAAATAGATGATTTAGTTTAAGGTACTCCGTGCTGATAAAGCAACATTACTACATTAATGGTTAAATAAAGAAATGACCAAAGTTAACTCTGCACTTTAGACGAATTGAAGGCGAAAACACGCCGGGAATTTTAAAGACGGTGATGTTTTCCCCGCGAACGCCACAATGATGGGAACACCAGATTTCGAGCTATGTTTGAGAGTAACGCAGGGACATATAGGACTTTCACTTTAAAAACGCTATTTTATATACTCGTAATCTGGCATCGTTGTGCCCAATTACGACTGCTTGCGGCATGCGTTGTATAAGGGGCTTCATAGTCACTCAACGTAAAAACTTTGATGTTTCATTGAGTTTGAAGCGTTTGAAAATCAATGAAACACTTGCTCCCATCGAGTAGATCACACAAAACGGACTGTCAGCACGACTCATGGACACCGTTGAAAGCCGATTTCTCTCCCAGCTTAATGGCGTCCTCCTTGTATTGGAAGAGGGCAGTGCGGCGGCGACCAGAGGCCAAATGGGTGGAGCAGCAGCGGTGCGCAAGGGGCCTGGAAGGCAAGTCATGGAGTGCCAAAGCTCGAGCAGCAGTGCAGCACAAGGAGCACTCCAGCGTTGGCAACAGTGAAGGAGTAGGTGAGCACAACAAGTCTGGCAACACTTGCTTCCGTCTAGTGGATCACGCAAAATGCACTGCCAGCGTGACTCGTGAACACAGGTCAGGACCGATGTCTCTCCCAGCTTAATCTCATCCTTTTTGTCTTAGAAGAGTGCAGTGCTGTGGCAATCGGAGGCCAGTTGGGTGGAGCAGCGGCGGTGCGCAAGGAGCCTGGAAGGAAAGTCATGGAGTGTCAAAACCAAAGCTTGCACAGCAGTCGAAGCACGAAGAGCACTCCAGCGTTGGAACAGTGAAGCAGTAGTTGAGCACCACAGGTCAGGCAGCACTTGCTTCCATCGAGTGGATCACGCAAAAGCCACTGTCAGCACGACTCGTGGATACAGGTCACAGCCGAAGTCTCTCCCAGCATAATGGCGTCCTCCTTGTCTTGGAAGAGGGCAGTGCAGTGGCAACCAGAAGCCAGATGGGTAGAGCAGCAGCGGTGCGCAAGGGGCCTGGAAGGCAAGTCATGGACTGCCAAAGCTCGAGCAGCAGTGCAGCACGAGGAGCACTCCAGCGTTGGCAACAGTGAAGCAGTAGTTGAGCACCACAGGTCAGGCAACACTTGCTTCCATCGAGTGGATCACGCAAAAGGCACTGTCAGCACGACTCGTGGATACAGGTCACAGCCGAAGTCTCTCCCAGCATAATGGCGTCCTCCTTGTCTTGGAAGAGGACAGTGCGGTGGCAACCAGAAGCCAGATGGGTGAAGCAGCAGCGGTGCGCAAGGGGCCTGGAAGGCAAATCATGGAGTGACAAAGTTTGAGCAGCAGTCGCAGCATGAGGAGCACTCCAGAGTTGAGAACAATAAAGCAACAGGTAAGCACTACTGGTCAATCATCACTTGCTTCCGTCGAATGGATCACGCAAAATGCACTGCCAGCACGACTTGTGGACACCGGTCACAGACGATGCCTCTCCCAGCTTAATGAAGTCCTCCTTGTCTTGCAAGAGTGCAGTGCGGTGGCAATCGGAGGCCAGATGTGTGGCGCAGCGGTGGTGCGCATGCTTTCATGCTCTAACCAATCATGCGCACTTCATGATTGGATGCTCTTACCAGTAAGTTTTCCATCGCACCTAAGAAAACACGTACCATAAAAATTGGGAAAGCTTGCGCTAAGTTGCAGAGAGCTTGGACCCAGCAGAGCTGTGGGGCACCTAGCTGGTCTTGACTTGGATAGGCTCTCACCCTCTAACCTCTTTATCACCAGTTTCTATACAGATGGCTAAGCACAGTGGCTATGCTTCCTTTCCTTTTTAGTTCTTTTAGGGCCGAGGTGCCTTCGTGTCTAGGCTTGTCCGTTGTCTGTCGGTCGTGGTACAACACATGCAAGGTACCCACTATACACCTATCGTAACTTTGCCTTCTTTCATCAGGAAGGCAAGCACCCGCTATGCCATTCGTGATTCTGCTGATAAACACCGTACCCGCACTTTATGTGGGTACCTCGTTTATCATTATATGCACTGCGCTGTGGCCCAAGACTGGGAAGAATAAGCGTGTTCTACACCCCAAATTCTCTTCCTGCCATGGATGAAAACGAGCCTGAACGTGCTCTCGCCCTTGAAAGGCAACGCCAACGCAGACAACAAGCTAGTCCGGGGAAGAGAGTTCGGGAAGCAGTCACAACGCCGACAACGAGCTGCTACTTTTACTAAGGCGACTTACTACTTTCACCATTCCACCTCTTTGCTGCACCGTTAAGGACGATCCATGATGATTGTCATGATAAAGAGTTTTATGAATGGAGGACGTGTCTACCTGCAAAAAAGCCAAAATATAAACTGGAGTTTTAAGGAAACAAGCTAAATATTAAAATTTGCATGAGGCATCGTCCAAAGAAAGCGGTAATGTTTCCTTCTGAAAGCACAATTTGCGTTTCACTTGTCATTACTTATGTTAAATCAATTTAATGATGAGTACTATATCGAGCAAATGGCAGTAAAGACACGCTTTCGCGCATTATTGAGTGTAGCACAAGTCAGGCTCAAGTGTACACAGCACTGGCTCAGCATCCATTCAATGGCACTCATTCAGGTAATATTGCGTGCTAGCTGCAAAGGTAATACCCAGCTGAAATAATAGTGTGTGCTAGCTGCACAGGTAATACCCAGCTGAAGCAATAGTGCGTGGTAGCTGTAAAGGTAATGACTAATGATGGTAAAGGTTGACTAATATTTCCCGAGGAGCACATGGAGTACTGAAGAAATTGACTGAATACAACCACGTCACGTCTCAAGTTGGGAAGACACTTAGGTTTGCTTCCGTGTTGGCAGTATTACTTTGGCATATACAAGCTAAAATCCGCATTTCAGTCAAAATAAATTATGCAGTGTGTTCAACCGAGCTCCATGGTGATTGCTAATACATGTACCAGAGGCTGCATGATGTGTTGGTAGTGAGATGTCAGGTTATGGTGCCCCCCTTTGCAAGAACCTGCTCAGGCATGTTAACTGCTATCCTCCATGCAGACGTACAAAACGTCTTTTGTATATATAATTTTTCCAGTCTATGTAGGAACTTCCCCATGTACTGCTTATAAGCGTAATTGTACTGTATATTTAATTGCACTGTATAATTTTACTGTAGTACTGTAGTATAATTGTACTGTAGTAATTGTACTGTATATGTAATTGCACGTAATTGTACTGTATAAGCGTAATGTACTGCTTATAAGCGTAATTGTGTGCACGAACGAACAAAGAAATACCAAATATACTCACAGTTTTCACATGTCTTTCATGCGGAGTGCTCCTAACCATGACCAGTTTATCCGCCAACACCGTGCTTCTTTTAAGGTTAAGCGTTAACCGGTCATGCAGCCGGAGCGTCATATTTCCGGTGCTCGTTCGTTCTTGCAAAATGACTGGATAGACTAGCATTTCATGCTCTGTGCAGGGAAGTGGACAAGTAAAAGAACTTCCGTTAAATAATGAAAAATCGCGACGAAAATCCAAAGACAAGCTCGCAAAATAAGCGCACGTCTCGCGTTGCCCATTCGACGATCACGCGAACATACCTGCATAGCAACTGAAAACGAAATTCGAAACTACGATCAAGGTGATCATGTCCGAACGCTTACAGCTTATTTAATACACAGCGGCACGCAAAAGTAAGGCGAGCGTTGCGCGTCAAATATATAAACGCGCAGTAGAACTCGGAAACTGCGCTGCTTTCTTGCTCACTGCAAGACGTCAAAAAGAGTTGAAAAGTTCATCGCCTTGACCACAGCGCCAACACTGTGGCGCTGTTGAACTTTTAAATTGAAGTCGTCATGTCTGTTAGGCAGGTAAAGGTTTCACGCCAAAGGTACTAGCTGATTACGAAGCAGGCGAACTTCCGCAAACAAGCTGGTCAGAACTGCAATTGATTTCTCTTAATTTCTTTTTTGCCATCTGGTGGCTAAATATATAGCTGGTTTTGTTGCAATTGCTTTTTGTACAGAAACTTTCTTTTTTCTTCCTCCAACCCTAGAACTTTGCTTCTCACATGCTTACGGCATTGTGCCGTCTTCAACTTATCAGTCCTTTGGGGCAATCATTATTGTCGCAGGGCAAGACAGGGTGTTGACATAACACTTTTTGAGAATGTTGGTGCGACTCTGCAAGCATGCTTTTAGTTTCCGAAAGCCAATGTCTATTCTCAAGGATGCGTATTATGCTTGGTCAATAATATATGCCACACACATGACGTTGTGATAAGTGACGCCGTGGGTAGTAGCGTTAATTATGAAGCCCGATACTATTTCCATGTACATACGCTGCCCTAACTGCTCATGCTGAGGGGTACTGCGTTGTCTTATTTTCGCATCGGCAGAATGCCGATGCGAAAATTATACCTCTAAAGATTACAGCACGAGACAGTAATTAAGGGGATCGGGGCTCACACGTAACAAACTTAATGGAATATGCGAGTTTTATTTATTTTTGAAGCACTTTACAGGCCTTTGCAGGTGTTGTGTAAGGAGTGTAGTCCAATAAAACGTTGCAACATGTACGACAATAGGAAAATACAAAAGAGGTATTATAATGCACACAAATAAAATAGAAAAATAACAGTAGCGTATGCGGGAATGTAAATTATTATTGGATTAGTGGATGTACAAAAAATAAACCGTATAGGCAAGAAAAAATACTTCCAGCGCGACGGCCCATTGTATATTGAATTATTACGCAAATGAAATAAATTCAATGCCTGCCACAAAGCAGCGATTTCAATTTTGTATTGACATTGGTTGAAAGGGATAATATCAGCAGTGCCGAAACTATGACGTGACAATTACGCATGCCCCAGTGGAGCTTAATGCAAGTACACTGGTCTCCGGTATTTCGCCTGCATCGAAGTGTGATCGACATGGTCATGATCGAACCTACCAGTTCCACGGCAGCATCCGAGCTCCGTAACCACGCTTTAAACGGAAATATGCATAAAACACGAAAAGCGTGACAAGCTTTTATTGGTCAGCCGATTCGCGTAGGTCAATCTCAGGCTAACAGTTTACTACGAAGCGTATTATTTGTGAATGATGCTGCCTGGTCCACCAACGAGAACGCCCAGACAACCTCAATACCCTCGTCGAGAACCGACGCTGCAAGGGGCCTTCCTTCGTTCGTTGACACAATGTCAGAAACTTGGATGAGTGACCCCAGTGTCGGGAACCGCCGCCTACACAAATTGTAGTTGTCTACACAACTTTACTGTGCCGCCGGCGGTTAAGAGTAGCTTTCTCGAAGGCGTACTCTTTTCGTATAGAAATGGCAGGCACATCCAGATGTGACTCGTGTGGCAGTGACGAGACAATAGAACATATACTGCGTTGTGTTCGTGTGATCGTTTGACGGACGAACGCAACGGGCTACGCGATACGTTAAACAAAGTAGATAAAAATTAGCCCCGTATCTGCGTGTATCATTGCAAATGTCATCGAAAGATGATAGTCTTGCGTCCGGAGAGAGTGAACGCAAAACGCTTATTTAGTGTTCTGTGCGAGAAAACAGGTGAATTGTATTCTGGAGGCGCTGCGTTAGAGTGCCTTGATGTGTGCAGCGGAGGTGAACGAGCGCATCGAGACACGTTAAAAACAAACGCTATCTACACAAGCGCTATCTGGCAGTTATCTTCGAAAACGAAGGATGGCGTGCGCGCCTGTCTCGGTGGCGATAAGATATAAGCCCAAACCTCATAAGCACGAAAATGCACGTGACGGCGACGAGCGATGAGACGTAGATCTCCTTCGCACGATCAGTCGCTAGCGCAGGCAAACCTCATTCACGCGACGGCTTCGGCGAGCGAACTCCACTGCTGCTGACATGAGGCCGTCTACTCGCACCCAGAAAACCGCGTAGGGAGTGGTATGCAATTTAAAAATAACATATATTGGTGTGTAATAGAACGGAAAGTGTTTAATAATGCCTTGCAGCACTTTCTTTATATGCACATGAGTAAAAATTGCGTTATATCTTGTTGCGCCTAGGTGACTTCTTTGAAACACTTGAGCATCTTGTAGTGCACTGGCCCACACTTGCTACGCAGCGGTATTAACTGATTAAGGAGTATAAATTCCTGGGACTCAAGTGCGTGACTCTAGACGACTTCCTCTTTCCGAGTGGTAGTGCTTCCCGACGCGACCATGCCCACCGAGCTCTGCTTACATTTATGGACCAAACGGAACTGGCCACCCGTTTATAGACGGTCTTTTTTTTATTCTTCTTTTTTCTCTTTAATTATTTTTCTTCCTTTCATTATTTTCATTTATTTTTTTACTCACACTTGTCAAAGTCTACGTCATTTTTTCCCCTCTTCCCCCTGTTCTTCCCCCTGTTCTTGACGCGGCTTGGCGTTCTTTCCCCCTTTTCCCATCTAATCTTTGTTTCCTCTGTTTCTTCCCTCCCCGTGAAATAGTGAGCAGGCGTAGTGCCCCACCAGATGGCAGTTGCCAGCTTGCTCTCTCCCTCTTTTTTCTGTGTCCTTGTGTATCTGTGTATGCAAATCAAATAACACATGACTCAAGCAGGGTCACGTGCAGTGGATCCGTGGCGCATCGGCGAAGCAAAACACCTGTGTATTCTTTGTCTGCGTTGTTTTGCGTGCGTCTGTCAATTTGATTCGTTTCCGACGTCGTGAAATGGAAAGACAAAGGAAGATGGCTACTCTGAAGCTGCTCATCATCATTTAGAGACGGCGAGCTTTCTTAAAGAAGTACTGGTTCCGGTCGACATGGGCAAATCGAGCGGGCGAAAGCGAGTTTTTCACAGCGGTAAGTGCTGCGAGACAACCGCGTCAAGAACTGTGTATACACGTGTAAACTGTAAGTTATACCTAATCCATAAGTTTCTTCAAATGAACACACTAGTGACTCATCTCAGCATGGAAAAACTGCAGGCACTTGCTGAATGTCTTGAGCAAACAAAATCAGTTTGCAAATGTGTCAAGGTGCACAGATTATGCATACCACTAGTACTGCAATATCACAGTGCTGACAATGCGACTACAAGAACTCATACAATGACACGTTGCGCACGTTGCGCAGCAGTAGAACACGTTGCGCAGCAGTAGAACATGTCGTGGTGCATTACACAGAGTATGAAACATTGCGCCAACATATTACCACGCCACCGATGTTATCACAGATTCAGAAAAAATAAATTTGTACTCTTAATGACAACCGACCGACTATGAAACTAAGGAATATAGGTGAGATAACATACAGCACAATATATGAACTTTACAACAGTTGACTGTTGAGCAAGTTGGTGTCTTGAATTACAAACCATCGTGAGAGCTGAACTGTACAGGGCACACGAGAAGGAACAGATGAGAACACTTGACGTACAAACCATCGTGAGTGTTTTCGTCTGTTCCTTCTCTTGTGTCCTGTGTAGTTGCGTTCTCAAGATGGTTTCCATACTGTGCAATGTTGGTGCACTTGAAAGAACACCAGGTGGTTGAAATTTTCAGAGCCCTCCGCTGCAGCTTCATTCTATAATCATATCGTAGTTTTAGGATTTTAAACCCCAAATGCTACTATTATGTACTTGACAAGCATGGACTGCTGGGCCAGTTGGTAAAATTCTTGACGGAGGTGCTCGAAAGAAATTGCATCACAAAAGGAAGACACCTAGACACAGCACACTGTGCGCTGTGTCTAGGTGTCTTCTCTTTGTGCTCCAATTTTTTTCGTGCACCTCAATTGAGAAAAATGCTACTATTACAAAATGTGAGCCACAAAAAAACCTAATCAACTGGCTCTATTACAGTTACTGGGTTCGTAAACTGAGTGACTGTCTGCAGTAACTGCAATTGCATGACATCTATAATGTGCGGAGGCACACGTCTCATTTTTTTTTCAGCCAGAAATGCGCGGATGCGTTCATGTTCATCAGGTTTTTCGGTGATGAACTTTGACAGTCCTTAGATTTCCTCATCATGTTTAGAACGCTTCGGTTTTTTTTTTGGTGGTGGTGGTAGACCCGTACTCTCATCCCACCTCGCTGTTTTTCTGGTGGTAGTCCCCCGATTTCCAGGAAGCTCTCTCTCATCAGACATGTCTTCAAGAATGCACTCTGGTGCCAGCACATCAGGTGCAGTCTCCCTGCAAGGCAGGGGTTCCAAGTTCCCACTTGTCCTATAAGGTAATACATAGTATGTCTTTCAGCACAATTTTCAACATGCAACACCAGCTTATGAGCTGCGACTTCTCTAAATATTTTATTTATCTTCATTCACGCCTTTATTTAGAGTCAACTACTCTGCATGAGCGTTTGGCGTAAAAAGGTCGATTACAAACTTGCGGCCTCCCTTCCATTGTCTCTTTTAGAAACAGGAGGCTACTAAAGAATGCCATTTTGTGGACTCGTCCAATTCATCATCAGCAGGCGCCCCACTCTTCAGTGCACGTGTCCGCTCCTTTAGGACACGCCTAAAGGTGTCTCGAAGGTTTTTCCATCTCGCCTTCTCTTCAGCAACTGCGCATACACCGAGGAAAGTTGTACACCATGCCAGCGCACAATGGCCATGCAGCACTTCTGGCGCGAACGTCGCTTGCACGCGGATTGCAAAACACAACTCGCCAGTGAATCCCATCACTGTTGCAA